CGGCTGCTGGATCAGCGCAGCTGCCGCGAAATTGACATTGACGGCACGGCGCGATTTTCCCGGACGCGATTTTAACGCGACCGCTCGACGCATTTCGTGTTTCAGGGCGGCACGGAGTTACGGGATCCGCAAAGAGTTGAGAAGCTCGGCGAGACTTACCTGCCCTACTCGGTCTTCCTGGAGTACATAAACGGCTTGGGGACCTCCACGTTCGCGTGAGTATCATCGGCTGATGTGTGCATACTGAGATGTGTGTGTTTGTGTCGAGAACTGCTTCGGCCGCTTTCGTCTTCTATATCTTCATTTTGTACTTAAAAGTGAGAAGGAAAATTATGTGCTCGTATGTTGATTATTAAATTACTTTAAACGGCACTTTACTTATTTTCGTTTATTTTACTCTTTACTTTTCAAAGCGTGACCACCTTTAACTTGAGTTACGTCTCTTCCCCTTCGTAAATTTATTTGAGGAATTTATTGAAGGAATCGCGTGTCGCGCTTCTACGATCATCTTCCATAAAGAATTTCATTTTTTTTTTACGTAAGATTTATTTATTCAAATCTAATAAAATTATTCGATTTTTTTTTTAAATTACGTATTCGATTTTCTGTTGTTATTTTATTTTTTATTGTTTGGTCTTATTTTATCTAATAACTTATAGTTTGTCTTTAATTCCTGAAAATTAGTCGGTTTTTGTAGAATAAACTCTTTTCTTTCAGACCGGGCACGTACAATCTTTTCAAGCATAACTGTAATTCCTTCACCGAGGAGGTTAGTAATTTCCTGGTGGGCAAGGGCATTCCCAAGTATATCCTTGATCTACCAGAAGAAATATTACAAACGTACGTCTTATTAATTATTACGATTTGCTATTTAATCTTACATTTATTATAGAAAAATGTATAAGATACCTGTTTACTTCATTTCGAAGCGATGTTTTAATACGAGTTATATTTTCAGTCCTATCGGACAGGCTTTAAGTCCGTTGATAGAAACATTAAGCAGTAGCTCAAGTGCTGGATTCACGGTAGGCCAGAGATTCGTTGAGCCTAGAATCCAGAGGGAAACTTCACCGGAATATCAACTCCTAAACACAGCTATCGAAGAAGCAAGGTACAGTTTTAACGCGTGATTATCATTTAAGTTTTTATAAATATTTTACTAAACTATCGAACACACTTGCAGATTGAATTCAATCGCATTAGAGGAACGGAGGAACGTCATTAACGAGAAATTAGCGAAGAAAGACCGAAAGAAGAAAAAAAAGAAAAAGGAGAAGAAAGATAAGAGCAGTAAGGAGGCCACCAGCAGCGATAGCAATAGTACCGGACCGAGCAATTGCTGTGCAGATATGGCGGAGAACGAAAGTATGTAGAATTTTATATAAATTAAAAACAATTGTAATAATAAAAAATAATATAATAAAAACTCTTACAATTTGGAAAATAATTTTTATATTTATTATTTATTAGGTACAGTTGGCGAAACGCAGCAGGCGGCCAATGGGGAAAACGTACCCGTGGAGATGCTGCCGTCTGAGCGAGTGATGCAGATGGAGGAAGACGAGAAGCGTGAGCAAGAAGAGAAAAAACGCCATCGAGATCCACCGATAGTTTTCAAAGACTTGGTGGATGTACAAACGGAGTATGAAGGCTTGGTAAGCGCTCTCAAAGGGAAATTAAACGATGAGGAACAAACTTGCTTGGGTGAACTACGGCAATATGTCTTGGAAGACGAGGGCTCCTGGGCTTTAGGCGACAACTTTCTGAACTTCGTTGGTGAGTCACTGAAATAACACAAGTAGCTCTCTCAAGTCTCTCTTTGAAAATGTGTCTGACTTATTCGATTAAATTTTGAACTTACTATAATAGATATTTGAACACTATAAAAACAGAATGTGCTTTTAAATTTAAAAGCACATGATATACTGTGTTAAATTCAATTCAATTAAATGGGTTTCAGGTCGAGTTCTTTACGATAAATCATTAGATAGTGATGTGCGAGTAAAACTGTTGAATGTGTTGTCCGTTGCCGCACTGAAGGACGATGTGATTCTGTTGTTGCATCAAGACAGGCGAGAGCACATCATCATGACTTATGCTTTCGATATCGATCGGCATCCTCCGGAGGAGCAACTTCCACTCGCACAGTTTGTAAGTACAAACAAAATTATTACAGTAAAACTAAGATTATTTTTATATTTTGATTCATATAGTTTCCTGACTTTTCGTACATTAGTAGGAACTTCTAATATTTACACTTACTTTTCTGAAAGCCTTTAACATCAATAACTGTTTCGAACAGTTGGCAAATATGTTCGAGAATCTTAGCAGCTCGGAATGGTTACTTTACATATCGGAGTGGCAGCATCAGGATCAGAACGTCAGCAGCAATATCAGCAATATAAGGGTGACGACAAAGGTTGCGGTGCACTCACTACTCTCAAACTCGGAAGACCTGCAGATCCGCGGTGCAGCCATTATTCACAACCTTGCCTGCAAGGAGGTAAAAACTGTGGTCTGTATCCTTCCTATCCAATTAACATTCTCATCTTTCGCCGATTTTTGCTTTCATTTTCATAACTCATCGCTACAAGCGTGTCGCATATCGAAGGAGTCTTATTAAAGATTATAATTCTACAGTTATTTAATTTTAAGCTACAGATATTTCTTTACATTATATAGTAGATCTCTGCGTTATAAATTTTACTTATTTTATGAGTTTGAAACAGGACTGTAGAAGAAGAGATATGAATTGGAATTGTCAAATATTAAAGATCCTTCGATACGCGATATCATTTGTAATGCCGCTTTCGAAATGCGTGCTTGCCGATATCACAAGAGAACAAGCTCGCACTGTGTCCTAGAAAAGAAGTGCTGCCTTTATTATATATAATAGAAAAAAAAGAAATATTCGCTCTGTAAATTGCTGACAATGCTAAACAACGCGACCGTCGACGTGGACATCTCGCCTGGTAACCCGATTTCATGAACGAGCAACGAAAAGAAACATAAAAGAGAACATACATATTTGTCATTAATCAAAAAGGATGGCTCAATTAAAGGATACACGACTCATTCGATGCTCGTTTGCATGCGCACACTGAAGCTCTCTAATCGCGCGGATAGCGCTGCGTGTGACGGATATCTTTCCAGAAATCGGATACTGTTTTTTCAGAAAATGAACAAAAGCAAAAATCTGCGGCGACTTTTACCGAAAGGCAGCATTTCTAAGGTACCTATCCAAATCCATGTTAGATCGAACCGTGCGCTGCGGTAAGTCGTTAATTCTTATCGGTATTCTTGCGTGCAACTGAATATACACGCGTAATATGCAACGTGATGTGCGCGACAACCACGATTAATTTTTCAAGTGAGTGTTTGATAATATCTCGTACATGTAACGATTACTAAAATTACAGAAAATTACAGAAAACTCACATAACAACGACGCTTCCAAGTTTAATCCTAAATCTATAACATTACATTCCGTAAAAAAATTGTATATAATTGTTTTTTGTGCTTACTATGGAAAAATACATTAATTTGATTAAATTAATTTTGAGATGGACATAGAACATCCATTTCAAACTTTTACTGTAATTTATATTGCAACTTGACAATTGTTTACTTAACATCGCGCCGTGCAGCCATATTTTCAAATATTTTTTTTTTCATTCGCAAAAGAGTGAGATATGACGTGATTTCTAAATATCTTTACGTAATGTATGAACTGTAGGTGTTTGACGACGTCGCAGTGGAACTGACGATGGCGTTACTACAATACTTCAACGGCAGTCCCGCGGAGGAGCAGCTGTATACGTGCATGAAGTCGCTGGCGCGTTTCACGCAGATCAGCGGCCAAGAAGTGCCGCAGCTCATACAGATGATTGGACCCGAGCCGAACAAATTCAGAGGTACTTCCCAGAGAATCGACGAGCAGATCGAACAAGTTAACCAGAAGCTGCGTTAAACATCCATCGACCGTCTGCGAAAATGTCGTATTCCATAAGTGCGAGATAAAATCGGACACGCTTCCGCTATGTTCAAAATGGATTTTTACTTAGAGATTCTATCGAGTCAGTCACATTTATTATTATTATTATTATTATTATTATATATTATTATTATTTATGAAGATTAATTATTGTTGTCATTTTAATATATTATTATATATGTATATTACTATTACTAGTAGGCGCCGCAGCGTTTCTTCAACTTCACTTTACACTTTTTTATTCGATATCTTTTTTTTGTAGATAATTGAAGCTAGCGACACTTTATCGTTCTACGCGGATCGGTGAAAGATAGGAATAAAACACATAAATGCGTGTGGCGCGATGACGCGCCCGTCATGTGTGCGACTATCTCCCGATTAAAAAATCTCTGTCTGTTAGAAAATTTCCGCACGACGAAATCACCAAATTAGCTGTATCGAATAGCATGTCGTAAGTGTTTATGCACGTCACACTCTACCGATTATACGTCCGTTCGACGCTTTTCGTCTTGCGAAGACGCAATAAAACTTTGGCAACAAAGATAACTTTCCCAGTAACATTGACTATTTTCCTCGTCGATTTCACAAGAATGCGCATTAGAAGAAAAAAGAAGTAGGAGTCTCACGGATCATACGCAGTATCAGCCTACCACGTGTCTTACATCATATTATGAAAGAATCAGAAATGGAGCAAGTAGTAGCAGTAAAGTCAGCTGTTATTAATCCCTTGTCAAGGTTTCTGGCGCCCGTTTGCGCGAGTCTTTATCAAAATGTCAACAATGTGCATGACACAAAACCGGTGAGAATTAGTAGCGTAATTAAAGGGATTTCCTCACTGGTATTTTTACAACGAGGTTTTAAGGACGTGGGGACGATAAGATCACGCGCAGCTGCTGCAGGAGTACCGAGAGATTCGGCATTGGAACACTCTTGCGATCGCAAAGCCGCGAGAGCATAGTAGTCTCACGTCAGATTCTGGTTAGTTTCTCGCTTGTATCTTGTCGACGCGACGCGAGTAAAATGTCCGACGGAGAGCCCCCGTCGTTTTCGATTTTGAGACAGGAACCGCGCTTCACAGTGGCAAAGTACCTGCCAGTACTCGGCTGGTTACCGCATTATACTCGGTTGAAGGCCATGTCAGACCTGATAGCGGGCATCACCCTGGGTCTGACTATGATCCCTCAGAGTATGGCCTACGCGGTACTGGCTGAACGGATTCCGCAGGTATCAGTCCGTCGTTCTCCTTGCTTGCTTTAATTAAGACTATGAGCATAGATAAGCGGATATCTATTTAATGACCATAAACGTATAAATATAGTATTTTTTTAAATCTCAATCCGTAATCTCTGCACTTAAAAAATGCGAACTCTTGAATTTTGTTATCTTCTTAGATGCTAGATTGTTCTAAGACTTTTTTTTTATCTATATAATATTATTATACTTATTACTGATATGATGTGTCTCTCTGTGTCCTTAAAAATATATCATATGACAAGTAATACAAATACAGTATGGTCTGTACTCTTGTTTTGTGGGCGGTTTCGTATACATTATCTTGGGAACTATCAAAGAGGTCTCGATTGGTCCGTCATCCTTGATGGCCCTTCTGACGTTGCAGTACACGCGAAACATGCCGCAGGATTTTGTAATACTCTTGTGTTTCCTGGCTGGATGCATAGAACTTTTAATGGGCGTACTAAATCTAGGCTTGTATTATAGAATTATCTAATCGATTAAATTTTAATTATCTTCGCTCACATTTTTTCATTATTATCATGTTCTATTGTATTGTTTATAAGTATACCAACGTAAAATTGATCGATACGATTCTTCCTGCAGGATTTTTGGTGGACTTTATATCAGTTCCTGTCACATCGGGTTTTATGTCAGCAGGAGCGGTTATTATAATTATCGCTCAGATGCAGAGTCTTCTGGGATTGAAATATAAGTCGGAAAATATTGTAGACAATCTGTACAAATTATTTAAGAATATTAATAAGATCCGGCTTGCCGATTCCGCACTCGGAATTTTCAGCATCCTATTTCTCCTGGTTTTCAAAGTGAGTGCCGGAATTATAAAAATGAACAATTTATAACAATCATAAAAGTATCATGTAGATTTTATCTTTAGAAATTGAAAGATATTGACTATCCTTGTATGAGAAACAAAAGGGATGCTCCTAGAAATGTAATAATAAAAAAAGTACTTTGGTACTTTTCCATTGGCAGAAACGCTCTCATAGTGCTTATATCAACCACAATAGCGTACCAATTCGAAGCGAATACAGGATCCATTCCATTTATACTTTCAGGTATGAACCTCATTTTGTAATTATTATTGGTAGTCGATTCGTCGAATAAACGATAATAATGATTTTTTTTTATGATATACCTAAATTAAATAATAATCTATTCATAAACTAAAGTAGAAAAATAATTTATTCAGTATAATTATTGTAAAATTATTGAAATCTGATAATTTATAACGACTTTTAAAGCCATTATTCTCTTATTAATCAATTTGACAAGCAGTTCCATTTAAAAATGTATTACGATCATGGATAGTTAGGGCATGTCAATATTTTTATCTTACAGGAAAAATCGAAGCCGGCCTCCCCAAAATATCGTTACCGTCATTCTCATCGCAAGTAGGAAATCAGACTTACACTTTTTTTGATATGTGCGCTCACTATGGATTAGGACTAGGGATACTTCCTGTTATATCCGTCTTGGCAAACGTAGCGATAGCTAAAGCATTTGGTATCAATTTCCATAATTCTTTCAATAATTTCAATCTCGAGTCAGACAGCAGATTGCCCCTGTAATCATAATAAAATAAAATTAGACTTAATAAAATAATTTCATTATATTTAACAAATTCTGATTTCATTAATTTGATTGAAACTGAGCAAACACACTACTAACTAACAGTAGCACACACAACAATTGTTAGTTACAATTTCCCACTCAACAATATAACTATGTGTTATATAATTGTTATATCTTATATTAAAGTTATATTACTAAGTGGAAAATTACAACAATTATATCAGTATTTGCTGTCAAATATTTAATATTTGACAGCAAATATATATATATATATATATATAATTTGTCGTGCAAGATGAAAAAGAATCAATTGTTCGGGTAAAATATTAGGCATATCTTGAATATTCTTTTCCTTTACAAATTAGAATACTTCACATTGAATATTTTACAAGCGAGTAGATAAAATTTCGTAACAATTAATTGATCTTATAGCGTTAGGCACTTCCATTAACGCAACGCAAGAAATGCTGGCTCTGGGCCTCTCCAATATAATAGGCAGTTTTGTGTCATCGCTTCCAACTACTGGTGCGTTTACCCGAAGTGCAGTCAGCAGTGCCAGCGGAGTGCAAACGCCTATGGCTGGTCTATATTCCGGTAACAGAAAATCAAATAACATTAATTTAAATTTTCAAATGTCTTTATTTCTTTTGTACGCAAGAAATACTGAAGCTGAATAGGAGCCTGCCAAAAATTTCTATTAAGTTGAAACGTATAATATGTTCGATTATATACTTGATGTATTAGGATTTATTAAATATTAGTGTTTAACAACTAGCTTTGACTAGTAATTGTAATTAGGATGGCCAACTGTCCCGAATTTTGCGGAACATCCCGATTATCGGCTCTTCATATAGAGACGTCCCGAAAGAACCCTTGGCAGGATGCCATTTGTTTCGATTTATTATATAATCCCAAGCAAAACAAGTCATTATGCTATCATAATGATGTCAAAATAATTCTAAAATGATCATTAAAAGTCATTTTTCAATCATTTCCGATTTATTTTAATGTCATTTTGACGTTATCGTGACTTTTGTCACTTCGTGACTTTCTGCTTGGAACATAAATGAATATAAAATTTAAATAACGCGGAGATAGTTATTTATTTCAAAAAATATCCATTTGTCTACATTTTTTTTAAGCAACCATGTATTCTCTTTACACCAATTGATTTGTGTGTGTCTCAAATTCCCTTCATAAAAGTATTAAGACACGATTATAAAAAAATTATTTGAGTTTTATATCAAAATATGTCACTACAAAATATAAAATAACTGTTGCGATTTTTCGACAACTTTACTTTAATACTTTTATATGCGGAATAATCAGAGGAATCACATTGAATTATATAATTTTATTTTTAAAAAATGGCGATACCGTTTATATGACCTTAAAAAATTAATTTTTTTTTAAAATTAATTTTACCGATATTTGCATTTTTTAAGACTGTATACAATTTTTATCTGAAACATTTTTCCGTATTTTTCACATTTTCTGAGATATTCGACTTGAAATGGGCCATGTTTGCATGAAAAATGTTTTTGCAACTGAACATACAGTACTGAAAAAGTTTTGAATTTTTTGGTTGTGTCCCGGTATTTTAAAGTTGATGTTCCTGGTCGAGAGTTGGTCACCCTACTTGTAGCGCTTTATTATTTTAATTTTAATTTACCTAGTTGAGCTTTAATTATTATTTCTTATTAAAAATTACTATATTTTATCATAATTTATTATTACTCAATACACCTAATATTTTGTGCATAATTAGAGAAATTTACGATTCTAATCTCGCGCGATAGCGTGTAATATGCAACATGACAGTGAGAGTTGTATAATGATCATGAGATACACATGCGGCATAGAACAAAACAAAGATGTAATAAAAAATAATAGATGACATTGCACTTTGCAGGTACTATGGTATTGCTGGCCCTGAGCTTTTTAACATCATATTTTTATTACATTCCACGAGCGACACTAGCGGCTGTGCTGATATCCGCTGTGTTAGTCATGATTGATGTGAAAATCATAAAATTACTCTGGAAGGGGAGCAGTCAGTATTACGTTTTCACGTGTACACAGATTAAACGAGAAGATAAAGCAATATACTTACATATAATATACTTCTTTTCTTGCAGAAATGGATGCAATCGCAGCGATAGGGACCTTTGTGATCTCAGTTTTTATCGGCATTGAGTTCGGACTCCTTCTTGGTGTTCTTTTCAACTTGATCCTTTTCATTCGACTGTCCGCGAGATTGACGCTTCAAATAGTCAACTGCAAAGTAAATAAAATTGCTATCATAAAATTTTGTCTTTTTTAGTATACTTTTATACATAAATAAAAAAATAAGAATAAATGTTTCTATTAGGTCGCAAATGTTTCGTTATTGAAAGAATGGATCGATATCATTTATACAATGGCTGCGTTCAGCAGACTCAACAGTTTTGCAACCGTTTTGTGATTCTTCGCTGAAATAGGACTATTTCTGTAAATCTAAAAGAATAATCAACGCGACGAATCATAAAACGGTTGCAAAACTGCTGAGTCTGCTGAACGCAGCCAATAATAGTACATAATACAAAGATACAAAGATAGTATCAAACAATGATTTTTTTTATTTAAAAGTTTCAGATGGATATTTTTTTCTGTTTATAAGAAATATATACTGAAAATATCCTCCATCGTTTTACACATATGCCTGAATACGACTAATCTGATATTCATGTCATTATTTTAAATCTATTTGTATGTCTATTATTTTAATAACAAAGCATTTGAGATTTAAAGTTCATAGGAACATTTGCTTTTTCTTTTCATCTAGAACCCTATAAGCGCATAAAATTATTTAATATTAATTAGAGGAAAGTCGCCGACACTGACATAGGTCTCCTAAAGTAACACCCCCTTATTTTTCGGAAACTAACTATTGCACTTTATTAATACTATAATAATTCAATAAAAATGTTTTAAACAAAATAGATGTTTTATAACGAAGTAAAATGATTCTGAAAAATCTTATATACATTCACTTATAGGTACTTTATACAGATAATTCCTGTAAAAGAAAAAGAATGGGAATACGTAGCATTATTGCCTACCGTGTCAGTTTTGGAGCCCATTTTATCAGATGCTCATTTTTGCATAACTTACGAAAAACTTAATTATTGCAAAATTGCAAACAGTATTATAAAAAACAAGAACAAAGAAAAACGTGGATCAAATAAAAACAACAATTTTATTTGAAAGGTTTATACCACGAACGCAAGATAACAGTAGCGAAATTTAAATTTTATTTTTATCTAATACATAGTAATAATAAACGTTTCGGTCATTAATCAGACCATCTTCAGTATTAATAATTTTTAATAAACTTAAATTAGCGACTTTATCAATTTACGCAACATGTTTAATTTTTTATTGTAAAATCATACAACTTATATTATTAATTAAT